GAGAGACACATGGTAAGCAAGACAGAGGTTCCCCCCACCTTTTTGTTTGTTTGTTTGTTTTGTTTCACATCTTTTACCTCAATCTGTCGGTGGTTTCTACCATCTCTTTATTTCCCTGGAGTTTCAGCTCCAAGAGAAGGGTCTGGCATCAGAACACAAAAGTCTGGCTGCTTGTCATTGGTTTCTCTCTTTCTTGGGTGCATTTCCCTAAAACTCAACAGCCTAAAACAACAAACATTTATTGTCTCAGTTTCTATGGGTCAGCAATCTAGGTGCAGCTTCTCTGGGTGCCTCTGGGTTCAGATCTCTCACAAGGTTACAGTCAAGGTGTCAGCTGGAGCCCCAGTCATGAAGACATGTGGCTTGAGTTGGGGACGATGTGCTTCCAAGTTCACTCACATGGCCATCGGTGGGCCTTAGGCCCTCACTGGCTGTAGGCCAGAGGCATCAGTTCCTTGTCATGTGGACCTCTCCCCAGGGCAGCTTAAATCTTGGCACCTGGCTTCCCTCAGAGCAGCAGAGGGACAAAGCAAGAGAGAACAGGCCCAAGATGGAAACCATAGTCTTTTTGTAACCTAGTCTCAAAACTGACCTACAATCACTTTTGCCCTATTCTGTCCATTAGAACTGAGTCACTAGGTCCAGCCCATACTTAAGGGGAAGGGATTATACAGGGCACAAGTATTAAGAGGCAGGAATCATTGGAGACCACTTTAGAAGCTGCCTACTACACCTTGGTGGGACTTTCTCCATAGCTACCGCTGTTATGTTTACATCCTTACTCAAATGTGAAGTGGAAGAAAATGCGCAGCCCTTCTGGGATCCTCATAGGACAGCAGGTTGCAAAGGGCTACATGCACACAGAAGTCAGACAATCCTGGATTGGCATACCATCTCTGCCACTTACTAGCTATGTGATCTTGGTGGCAAGTCACATAATTTCTCCGATCCTCAGCAAAATGGGGATAATAATACGTGACACATTGGGTTATTGGAATGATTGAATGATATAATAAAGCATGCAAAAGATTTAACAGAGTGTTTGGCATATAATGAGCACTTAATAAGATCAGCTCTTGTTAT